CAGATCGCTGCTGCACCCATAGGTGGGGGTGTTGGCCCCAGAAAATGGTATAATAGGGGGCCATGTGGGGTGCTGAATAGAAGCTTACTGTCTGATAATCCTATGTAAGCTGTCCATGTGTTTGTATAATGTCTGTGTGTGTAGTTAGGAATCTGTATGGATACTGAATATTTCCCTGCATGTGGTTGAGCATTGGGCAGGGCTGGGCCTGTGGACATGCTAATTAGCGAGGCCCTGTGGGACAATGGCTCTCAATGGGCCAAGGACACACCTAAAGAATGAGGGCTGTCACCTGAGAGCTGCCAGCAGAGAACACAGGGATATGCTGCTGACCAGGTGACTTGCTGTAGCCAAGAAGAGACCAGAGAGGAATGGATAAAGGTTCCATGTGGTCGACGCCATCTTGGTTCTGAGGTCAGCTCTTGATCCCAGAGGCAGCAGTGCAGGGATTGAAGAGCCAGAAAGACCTATGAACCCATCCTGATTCTAGGATGTGCAACAAGGACTCTTAAACCAGCAGCTGTAACATCTCTGCTAGAGCCTGCATCGAGACCTGGGAGATTTGATGCATGTAATGTACTATTCCTTTAACAACCTTACTCTCCTGCTTTTCTTTCTTGTGATGATAAACCTTTAGTTGTTAGATGGTAAAGGATTGGCTCAGCGTGATTTGTGGGTAATGTCCAGAGGGTAAATTGACCAGGGATCTGTGGCTGGGTTCTTAGAACTGGACAGAACTTGTTCGGGGTAGGTGGGATTGGGTTCTAAGCCCCCCCCCCACCGGTGTATGAGGCCCAGGGCCATCTGGGGCACGGATTTGCTGGGGTGTCGGAGGGGTTTTGCTCGAGAGGCTTCAGGCAGGCAGCTGAAGCGCTCTGTGGGACTGGTTTGTGGCCTGTTTGGAGAGGTCGCCAGTCTGGGGGCTGTAAGGAGCCCCAGCTTTGAGCAATTTGCCCTGAGTGGACGCCCTCAGCTGTGCCCAGACTCGGCCCGGTCTGTCACATCTCTCAACTCGGCTGCGTCTAGACTGGCATGATTTTCCACAAATGCTTTTAACGGAAAAGTTTTTCCATTAAAAGCATTTGCGGAAAAGAGCGTCTAGATTGGCATGGACACTTTTCCGCAAAAGCACTTTTTGCGGAAAAGCATCTGTGCCAATCTAGGCGCGGTTTTGCGCAAGAAAGCCCCGATCACGATTTTTGCGATCGGAGCTCTTTTGCACAAAACAATACCACGTTGTCTACACTGGCCCTCTTGCTCAAAAGCATTTGTGCAAGAGGGCTTTTGCCCGAACCGGAGCAGCATAGCATTTCTGCAAGAACACTGACAATCGTACATGAGATCGAAAGTGTTCTTGCGGAAATTCAAGCGGACAGTGTAGGCAGCTGCTTTTGCGTAAAAACTTGCCAGTCTAGACACAGCCCTTCTGTTTTTTCTCTCCCCCACAAATAAAGTAGGCAATTTCTATCTATTTGAACACTCTATTTTGATTGGTTCTCCTGGCACCTTAGCCAACACCTTTGCTAGCTACCTGAGTTTAACCCCTTAGTCACCGGGTGCTGTTTAGCACTCTTCCTGTCTATTACACAGAGTTCTCTGTAAGCTGAGTGCTTGGGTGGTCACCCAGGAGAGATTCAAATGCCACTCAGCTGATTAGCAGAGCACCCACAGCCTCCCAGAGCCAGCAGCATATGTTTCTAGTGGTGATGCTCATTTGGACATGCCTGAGTGCATAGAACAAAATTTATTCAGCTCATGGATTGAAAAAATTAGAAGGAACACTATATTGTGACCAGTGTTCCCTCTAATATTTTCCATCCATGAGCAGAGTGAGTTTTGTCTTGTGCACCAATACTGAGGTCATGTGCGCTTGCTGGGCTGTGTGCCACTGTTGCCCTTGCTGGACCCCAAGCCATCCTCCCAGGCAGCACCCTCCCCCACCTGATGGGAAAAAGGTGAAACCTATCTCCGTAGGGAATGCTGCTCCCGGAGCCAGAGGGCAGACAGGGGAAGAGGCATGTGGGGGGCCTTTGCCCCAGGAGTAACCATACTGCATCAGCAGTGACCACACAACCCTGGCCACAGCTCCAGCCCTGGTGAAGGGCTGGAGCTGGCCCCTGGAGCAGCCACACCTCAGACCCAGACCCAGACCCAGACCCCAACCCACAGTCCTGGCCCCCAGAGCAGCTCCGGCACCCAGAGCAGCTATGGCCCCGGTCTCAGCAGCAGCTGTGGCTCTGGAATACGGGGCAGCTACCTGCCACATGGCCCCACCTCAGGAGCAGCTGGATAGCCATCATGCAGCCCTGACCCTCCATTCTCCCACCAAGCCCACCTCCACCAGTAGCTGCTTACCTTCCACGTGCAAGGAAGGTGAGTGCATGGCTCTACTGAGATGGGTGGGATTAAAATTATTAGTGTACACCTGCGCAGGCTCACACCCTAGAGGGAACTAAGGTTGTGACCTGAAGCAGGAGTATGAGAGGGGTTGCATGGCCTAGAAGAGGGTATGGATTCAGGAGCAGAGATTCAGAGAGTTTTGGTTACGTGGGATAAGGGTGCAGGTATGGGAAGGGAGGGGCTGAAGTGCCAGAGGCAGGCTTTGACTGGGTGGTGCTCACCTGGGTGGTTCCTGGCCAGCAGCCCTGCCCTGCAAGTTCCAGCAAGTTCCACAGCCAGGCTCTCTACCTTCCATGCCCCCACAGGCCACTCAGAGTAGGCAGCAGGGGTTATGTGTCGCTCTGAATGTTGTGAGCTCAGAGGGAAAGGGGTACTTCATGTGTTGCCTGTCCTGCAAACAGACAGCTCCCTTTGGCCAGAAGCCAGCCAGTGGGAGCTGTGAAATTGCGCTGGGGGGAGGAGAGAGAGAACTTGCAGTGTTCAGACAGCTGCTCTGAGCAGCATGTGGGGGCAGGCTGGCAGGGAGCTAAGCAGAGGCTCTTGCAGACCAGATCTGGCCAAGAGGCTGTATTTTGCCTTCTCTTGATCTAAAGACAGAGAGGGATAATATATAGGAAAGGACAGCGGCAGCATAGAAAGGAACAGTGGAGTGGACTGGAAGGAAAAAGGGAAGACATTATTCAGCATACACACAGCTTCCTATATTCCCCTACACTTTTGCCATAGAAAAACTGACGTAGCTTCTGGATGTAAAAGAAACCCTATGTGGGAATATTTTGAAGAAATTCGTTTCCTGGGCGAAAAAAGGAAAGCGTGTCAAGTGTAAGCAGTGCAAGAAGAAGATGAAGGGCCTAAATGCAAGAATGAAACATCAAAGGAAAACTGCTCATTGGGAGAAAATTATGTGGATGAAGATGTGAATATGCCTGAAGAATGATTGTGGATCAACTTTGCAATGCATCATGCTTCAAGATTCTCTCTATGCATTTTAGTCTAAGTGTGATTGACAAATAAATTCCAAAGCTGTTTGCTGTGTTGGATGTTGCTAGAAAAAAAAAAGTTTAGCTTAGCTTATCCTGATAGCTTGTTTAATTAATTAGATAGGTTTAGAATATGTCTCCCAAGTATACGGTACAGAAAGTTTCAATAAGAGGAATCTAGAGTTGCCAGTTGTCACTAAGTGTCATGTTAAATAATACATGGCTCTTATTTTGGAACATCATGTCTATGGACCATAATGGTGATGACATAAGTCTATTCCCTGTTTTACTTCAGCATAACTCATCTTTTTCAAAGGAACCCCATCATATACTTGTTTTCAGTGGGGCTTACTCCAAAATAAAGTGCACTCCTAGCATTTTTGGTAACTTGGAATCAGATCTACACCAAAATGACCATGGGAGTTGGGAAGACAAGTAGAAGTTTAAAGGACACCATATGTTTAGCATTCTGAAGACTTGTCTGAGTTAATAAAATTTGAAAATTAGAAAAAAGTTTAAGGGCAGCTGTCAGCCTACAACTCAGGAGACTGCTGCAAATGCTTTTAACGGGAAAGTTTTCAGTTAAAAGCATTTGCGGAAGAGAGCATCTAGATTGGCATGGACGCTTTTCTGCAAAAGCACTTTTTGCAGAAAAGCGTCCGTGCCAATCTAGACACGCTTTTGCGCAAAAAAGCCCCGATCGCCATTTTCACGATCGGGGCTTTTTTGTGCAAAACAAATGTGAGCTGTCTACACTGGCCCTTTTGCGCAAAAGCTTTGCGCAAAAGGGACTTTTGCCCGAACGGGAGCAGCATGGTATTTCCGCAAGAAGCACTGATTTCAGACAGTAGGAAATCAGTGTTCTTGCGGAAATTCAAGCAGCCAGTGTAGACAGCTGGCAAGTTTTTTCGCAAAAGCAATTGCTTTTGCAGAAAAACTTGCCAGTCTAGACACAGCCCAGGGGTTTTCAAACTGAGAGTCACAACCCCATTTTAATAGGATGACCAAGGCTAGCATTGGCCCTAGTCTCCCTCAAGTCTGAAGCCCAAGTCTGTCACCTGCCTACAGGCGGCCTTGTTTCAGCTTTGCCCCCTCTTCCTGCCGCCAGGGAAAGCAGGTCTCAGGTGGTGGATTTCAAATATATTTGGTTTTGGGTTCCCTCCTGGGGTTATGCAGTGATTTTTCTTGTCAGAATGGGGTCATGGCACAATGAAGTTTGAGAACTGCCATCCTAGACTCTTGCATGTTTTCAAAATAAATTGGGGGTAAAACCGTGGAGAAGTGTGGGGGTTGATTAAAACCATTCACTTCTAAATACCTGTGTCAGCAAGAGGTTTTCAAAGAATCCTTCTCACGGAGAGGCTTTGTTTCCCTCTTCCCCCGCATACGTGCACGAAAGAGCATATGTCTAGCTAGCTATCGCTTTCAAAGCGAGGCCAATAATTACTCTAGAGGAATTGTTTTTCTTCCTTCCTCTTCTGTGGCTGCAGTGGAGAGCGAAGGGGTGCGTGTATGAATGTGTGTGATACGTGCGTAGCTGCACTACCCTCCATGGCCGCCCCACCTGCCACAAGCCCTCGGCTACTCCTCCCTGCCTTGTACGGTTCGCTGGAACACGTGCTAGGGGAGCCAGCCCAGCACAGCTGCAGAAAGCATCAGAAGGAGCCAATCACTACACAAGGAGGCGGGTTGAACTGCACGTGTTCCTGTTTGTGTACGTGCAGCAGTCGGGTCCCAGCTGAGTGGGCGGGGAGTTCAGACCGGAGGTTCCCTTCCGAGCGAGCCCGGGCTCTGACTTGTGTTATGCGCTGCAGAGAATCCGGGACGGGCGAACTGCGGGTCTTCTCCTCCATTACCCCTCCAGCGCAGCAGTAGTCGCAGAATAGTGGGAGTCCTTCGCCGTATGGGGTCAATGCTGATGATGCTGGATTGCAGCTCAGAGGTGACGCTGGGCCGAGGAATCTGCGCGGTTGTTTCTGTGCATTGTTAGAAATCCAGGGGGGGTTGAAATATATAGCTTTACTGGTATTGCTAAGCCCAAATTCCACTGATGTCAATAGGATTTTGACAGTTTCCCTCTCGCGTTGGTGGTTTGCGTTCCCACAAAGCTCATAAAGTGGTCTATGATAAAGGGACACAAATATTAGATGATCTGTTGGGACTCTGTGAAGAGGAAAGCGGAGAAATCAAGGATCTCTTCAGATTTTATCTTTCAGGTCTAAGGATAACGTGGAGTTATGTATTTTTAAAACACTTGTCTTTCTCTACCTGTAGTCTGACGGTTTGAGCCTCCTGCTTGAGTCAGGAACTGGGGTGAACGCACCCGCAGATGGCTTTGGTCAGTCTCCAGTTCACTTAGCTGCTTGTGGCGGACACGCTTTTTTCCTACTTTGGCAACTGCAAACGGGAGCTAATCTGAACCAACAGGTACAAGTTATGCTGTTTTGTTTTGTCATGCCTGTTTCCACTGAGGCATGTTATTGTATGAAAGGTATATTGTTTATGTAAATCTTTAATTGTCACGGATTCTATTAAATATACAGACTAGTTGCTTGTGACTATTTTCTGCCTTTGGTATGAAACATCCTTTTCTCCTTCCTCAGTCCATAATCAGTTGAAAACATTTTCAAAGTGGATTATTCTTTGTGTAAAACGTACTTTAAAGTTCATTGTGGTTACTGTGTGTTCAGATTCAGATTTGTCAGAGATCTCCAAAACAAACTTTTGTCTCCTGGACTTGCAGTGGTAGAACACTTTAGTGACCCCTCTTTCTATCAGGGTCTTGGAAATGGGCACATCTTTTTCTACTCTATATCAAAGAGCATAAGAGTCACACTTACACAATGGCAGACATTTGTGGTGATTTGCTTGTGTATCTGAACTTTACTATGAATGGGATTACCTCCTACCTCTGTATTTTGCTGGAAGATCCTGCTGTGTAGAAACTGTTTCCACATCTCGTACATATTTTCAGGAGTTCAGTGGGTTTCCGCCCTCCCCCCCACTTTTAGAGCAGGTTGATTTTTTTTTTTCCAATCTCAAATTTTCTCAGACCTAAATGTTTTCAGACCCAGTCATTGTTTGGATAATTACAAAAAAATTCACTTTAATTTTATGTTTACAGCTTATTTTTAGTTAGCTTGAATTTGTACAGGAAAAGTCATTTTGAATGGAAGACCAGAAATTTTCATTTTTAAAGTGTCAGACAAGAACATCTTGTTAGTTTCTAAACTTTCCGATTTATCAAATCCAAACTTGTTTTGTGAACAGTTTTGGTTTCAATAAATTCACATTTTCTGATGTTAAAATTCCCAACTAGCTTTGAGTACACTTTGTATAAAAGTTGTTTTAGGAGATACAGATAATTTTGCAAAATTATCTGCTACTGTCTTATGAATAAAGCAGTTATGTTTGTATTTAACTGTATATATAGTTTTTGACCCATCATTTTGTCTTGAATCAAGATGGTATTATCTAGATTTCTAACATTTGTGTTTGTGCTCAAACTGGTTAATATCTTCCTGCCACTTCAAGAGATTATATTCTGGTTTTTTTAGGATTGCCATGGAGAAGCTCCAATTCATAAAGCAGCAAGAGTTGGGAGCTTGGAGTGTCTTGCTCTACTTGTTGCCACCGATGCTAGAATAGAGTAAGTAAAAAAACCTACAGTTAACTAATTAAAATATTAGCCCTCAGATCTTGCTAAAATCTTAACATACGTTAACATGAAACATATGCTAATGTAGAACTTGGTTTCCTGTTCAAAAAACGCAGCGCACATGCCCATTTAAAAATGCATAAAACTATCTTGCAGTACTTAAGTATTTATCACAGTACATGGTCTACTATACCATTGTCTTTGTTTTGGTTAGAGAAAATCCTTTTTACTGTAGCTAAGGGGAGCTTTCTGATTATAGTTCCATTTCCTCTATTGGTTATACTATTCTTCCTCTTATACTTTAGACAATTTTTTTCGTAGCTTAGTTCTCAACTATTTTTGCACTTGAAATAAAGATTTTTACTGAAGAATTGTGATGACTGCCTCCTCTTACATGGTGATGATTTGAAATTTACTGTGTGTTAACTTTTGCATCTCAGCTTATGCAATAATGATGGACAAACAGCAGAAGATCTTGCATGGGCTTTTGGATTTCTGGAATGTGCCAAGTTCCTCACAACTGTTAAAAATACTCAAAATATGAAGCTAAGAGAACAATCTAGCTACTCACTTAAGGACAATTGTGGTTTGCCAAGGGAGGCTTCAGCTGGACAGAAACGAGCATGTGGAATTATGGGACCCACAAACATGAAGAGGAAGCGATCAGATGGTATGTAGTTTGACAACACCAGGGATGGGAAATAATTTTAGAGAGGAGAACTCCCAAGAACTTGGTAAATGGTCAAGGGCCACACTTTTCTATGATATTAATGGGGGAAGTAGTGGTTCTGGGATGGAGGTTGGGTTAGATGATTAGGGGAGAAAGATAGATCCCATTAGCCAGGATGGGTAGGAATGGTGTCAAAAGCTGGGAAGGGGTAACTGGATGGATCACTTGATGACTCTGTTTTGTTCATTCACTCTGTGGCATCTGGCATTGGCTACTGTTGCAGACAGGATACTGGGCTAGATGGACCTTTGGTCTGACCTAGTATGGCTATTCTTAAGAGGGGGTTGAGGCCTGAGCCTTTAGTTTCCAGCCCATGGAAACTGCGAAGATTGGGTATGGAGACCTCCCAATCCTCAGAACGGATGTGTGTCATACAGAGATGTGCATGCTGGTCTCAGCAGCTGGCCACTTTGAGTCGCATGTGGAAGTGCAACAGGCAGGGAGCTTGCTCCAGGGTATGCTGGGCCACAGAGCATTGTCAGTCTCAAAGAGTATGGCAGACTGGCTGTGACCTACAGGCTGTATATTGCCAGCAACTGATCAGTACTAAAAATTAGACACTTAGCTAGGACTAGTTTAATACATATCAGAATATTCTGAAATATTAGACTTTCAGTAATTAAGTACATTACCTGAATTTGGCAATAGATAAGTGGTAGTGAAGTACAGCCATTCCATACATCTGCAAATATATGCCTACATGGCAAAGCTACTGTTCACCCAGAATATTAATGTTGAACAGAAGGACATGCTGCCTCAAGATATGTATGTTCTATTAAAGGGCCAAATTACTTTTGTGCATTGGATAAGGGTGGACTGATTTAAATCAAAGCTATTTAAATCATTACTTTAATAAGTAAAACAATTGCTTTTATTTTCCTTAAGACAGGTTCTTATTGGCTAGTAACCATTACAATATTGATGTGCAAGTAAATATATCCTTTATGCTAAATTTTGGGTCACCTTTTCGCTAACCAGGGAGTATGCTATATTTATACACATTTGTTTAAGCAAGCATAAACCTCAACTTTATAATAGATAAATCTTTTCTTTGATTTGTGTCACTCTCTACTTGGATGGAAATTTCAAATTCAGTTAAAATGAACAAAGCATTTTAAAATTAAAATACAACTACCTAGGTTTTAGGTGGAAAGAAAGATGAGTGTATAACAACCATCCTATACTACAGCCCTAGTATTGATAAATCTTTTTTGTTTGAACAGATACCACGTTTTAGGCTGTAAGTGGGAGAACCTGTAACCCTGAAAACAATCTTTAAGAAGAATCTGACATCTGCGAAAAACTAATGTTATTGGTTTATGAACTAAGCAGCCCAATATCTGATGCTCTGCTGTCTCCTTCTGAGAAGGAGGAAATCTTGGTTATTTTTTCTTCTTGAAGAAGACATTTTTCTAGAATACTTTGTATTCATACAGCTGTATGTATGTGTTCAGTTGTAGACTATGTATAATAGATCACTCTACTCAGGTAAACGGAAAACAAAATTGATACTTGGCACATACAGTGCTTCTCTCTGGCTCCCCACATCCAAAGGATAATGTGTAGGAGATTTAACATTTTGTTAAGTGGCATTCCCTGCCTCCGGTTGTATGATTATTACTACTTAATGGCTACTGTCAAACAGTTACCAAACTTCACTACAAAAGGGGCTGTATGGAGCTGTTTGGATCAGTTTTAAATTGGATCACAATTTGGCACAAGCTGCTTACATAAGTAAATGTTAAAATACCAGGCCCTAAATTTGTAAGGCACTTTAGGAGGTTTCAGAAAGAAAAACAAAAATCCCAACCCCACCAGATTATTAGATTGTCTTAATTTTGGCAAATAAGTAAACACTTTCAATTAAACCTGTCTATACAAAAATGCTGTTCAATGTGATTTACCCTTTTTTCCATTTTAAAGGCTTTTATTTAAAAAGGCATTTTATATTTAAAGCACAGTGAATTCATCTAGCATTTAAATCAGCTACTGTCAAAATACCATTCCAATTCAAAATAAGTGAAGTTTTGTACAAATTAGGCATTTTATTTTAAATAGGGCAGCTGTCTATATCAAGTCTTATTCTGGATTAATATGATTTATTGAATTGGAATTTAAATAGTTTTTGGCCGCTGAGGTAGGCAGAGGTTGTAATAAGCATCTTTGCTCCAAAAGTCTGGGCCCTTCCATCCACACCAAGCCTGTATAGGAAAAAGCAAAATAATGTCATTTCTAAGACAATTGTGCTTAAACTGGCTAGATTTGATGGTATTCAAGGACCAGTAACAATCTGCATAATTTTCATAATGCATATACTGAATTTAACAGTTTTTTTTTTTCTCACACTGTTAAAATTGAAGTCTAGTAGCAATGTTATCTTCTGCCTTATGTTTTGAAGGCAGTAAACTCCTGTGCTATTTATTATACATTTTATGCTGAATCAAATCAATTATTTTCAAAAAGTTAAATACAGGGTCAAATCAACTCCTCAGAAAATATGGCATGCACTAAGGGGAGTGCTTTTTAGAAATTTCACCTTAACTTAGACCTCAATTCTGCAAACATTTATGCATGTTTACATTTCACATTAAAAGTTTTAGTCAATCATTGAGACTACTCAGGTGCCTAAAGTTGAGTGCATTTGTAAATGTCTGCAGGATTTATTAGAAATTGACAAGAGTAAAGAATATTTACGTATCAATTGTGAAGTCCCATGGGTCTGACTAGACAAGTATCAGGACTTTAAAATATTACCAGAAACCTACCATATGAATCAGAGGCAGATGCAAAAGAGAAGTAGTTCAAGGACAGTTTTCAATCTCAGCTGCCAGGACAAGAGCATGCTGGATAGAATTCATACCAAAACGTTTCTCAATTCAAAATTGGCCTCAGTTTAGTAGGTTAATAAATCTGAAACTACCTTCCTCCTACCTGGCTGTTGAGGAGTTCTCCTCCCAGTATAGAGCCTACTACTGCGATAGTATTTGTTATTCCACCATTCCCAGAGTCTCACAAATTGTTTTAAGATATCCCTTTTCTCTGCACAGTTCCAATTTCTACCCCTCTTGCTGAGTATTCTAGAGCTGCTACATAATGAAACTGATTGCTTATAGGATAAACAGAACCTGATAAGCCTCATTAATTACACTGCGCTATTGGTATAGCAAATCTAGAGCAAGAGCAGAGGAACTGAAGCCATCTATCTGCAGATTTAAGAGGACGTCATTGCATGGTTTATCTTACCAACTATAAAAATTAGAAAGTCAGAGGCCAAACATATTCCCAAAATGTGCATGTATTCCTTTTTAAAGACACCCTTAGCTTTTTGTCTGTATCAGTACAAAATATAATTACCTAATTTCAGGGGACCGTCTCTCTAAAAATTTTGATATTAACACATGTAACCAGATACTATGTTAGACACAAGGTGGTGGCATCAAGGATGTTCAGTCCTGAGGGAAGTAAAGAGCATTCCTTCTTACTGTCAAAAATAACAGCAAAACAAAACATGTTTCTCAGAAAAAGCACCTCTTCAGACTCAGAAAGCTCCACAGGCCAGATGTAAAGGTATACTGTACTATACTGGTACATTAAGTTGGGTTCTGGGCTGGCCATGTAGGATCAGCATTTTCCTTGGGATTATAGTGTCCTTCAGCCCAGGGACTGAGCAACATAATACACAAGTTTATACTATTATGTATAAACTAACCATATCCCTTAAGTGCTCACAAGTATAGTAAACACATCTACGTATTTGTAAATTTTTTTGATAAATTAAAAATATACCTGTACAAACTATGTTCTCTCCAACATTTGTCATGCCATATAACCATGCATTTGTATGCAGAAACTAAATGAAAAGTTAAAATCATACCTTTTCCAAGATAATATGCAGGTCTTCAGCACCAGTATAATGTGGATCTAGAATCAGAAATCTTGTGTGCCCTGTAACTTCATTCCATGCCACTCCTAGTATTGTGTGAGCCAGAACACCTCCACCTAGATTGGAGAAATTATATACCCTAAGACTCTGTATTACGCTGTCTGACAGACTTACTTTTTTGCACACACACATATATATTAATATAGGTTGAACTCCTCCAGTCTAGCCCTCTGGGTCCAGTGACATCCGTGATCAGGCATAATTTTACTTAGCTGAATGTCCACTTATCATAGGTGTGGCTAATTTTCTGATGGTGCCATAAAGTTTGTTTCAGCCACCAGTCCTGGCTCTCAGTGTTTTGTGCTGTTCTTTAGCTCTAATTTACCCCTAAATGTCTTCTAAGAGCCCAGTTAGCAATAAAAGTATTGGTAATGCTGCTAGACAATACTGACCTCCCATGGTTCAGCACATTTTCTGGTTTGGCACTGGTCAGGTGTAGGGATGTAAGGGAGTAGGTGACTAGTTGCTTCCTCTTCCCTTGATGCCTCTATCAGAGAGAGGCAGCAAGGGGTAGAGCAGGAGCCTGTGCTGGATTTTACTTAACCATTTGATCTTTTAATCTCTCTCCCAAATCAGCATTATGATCCTAACTCCACCATCATAAGAGGGGAACATTTTCAATACAACATTATGTTCAATCTATAGAGTGGTCAGTTCTAGAAAAGGAACCCAGTCTGAAGAGAAAAGACTAAATCAAAAATAATGGGAAATTTGTAAGCAATAAATCAGAGGAGAAAAAGGAGGGATATGGTATGTATAACCAGAGCACAACAGTGTTTTATTAGACACCAAGGCTAATGTATACAATCTAAAATGTTAAAACTATGAGGATTATATGTAAAAGCCTGTTAACAATAAATACTACTTGTCTGTTTCGCACTTCAAAAGAGGTTACATGTTGGGTGACTAGATTGAGTTAAGTAGGGACTAAAAGAAAAATAATATGCAAGTATTCCTTCCCATTCTCTTACATGCTCTCACTTCATTCTGAACATTAAGAATTTCAAAAGCAGTATTCAAAATCAAATGTATTAAGAGTGAATACTGAGAACCACTTGCATGGTAACTCTTGAAAAAAATCTTGATTATAGTGTATCTCCTTTAAAGATAGTGGCAAAAGGGGATGTTTAGGTGTATTGCATAAAATCAGTGGTAGGGAAGTTCCCTATCCAGTCAAAGGTATGTGATCCAGCAAACTGCCAGAATGGTCCAAAAAAGCCCATGCACTGATGGACCTAACCCATGCACTCACTATTCCTAGCCTCTGACTATCAGATGCTGGGACTGGATGACAGCAGATAAATCACACAATAAACTGCTCATTTCTATTCATTCCCTTTTAACCTCCTGGCATGGTTCACTGATGGAAGACAGGATTCTGGACCAATGGCATTTCTATGTTCAGGTTGTTTGGACACCTAGAAGTTCTTCTGTACACACATTAAGTAGTTACATATTTGTAATAGGGATATCAGATATTGGATAAATAGAATCGTTGAGTAACCGCATGAATTTTTAATCAGTTACTCAACTATTCTATAGTTCCCGAGGGCGGAGCTGGAAGCCAGTGCGCTCTGGACTCAGTCTCAGGGAGCCCCCTGCCACCCTGCACTGCTGCCTCTCTATCAAAGGCTGCAGCACGGGGTGCTGGTTTAAAAACCAGCTGCCTGCGCAGACTGGTTACCTGCCACTCCATGCTGCTGCTGCCTCTGATATAGGGTGAAAAGCAGCCTCTGTCTGCAGGGAGCCTTGGCCCACCACAGGCAGAGGCTACTTCGTCGCAGCCTCCCCCATCGCTGCCTCTGATAGAGGTGGCAGCACACAGAGTGGGAGGGAGAGGCAACACTGTGGAGCCAGTGCTGGGGGGAAACCGACTTTTAAGCTGGCGCCCCACAGCACTGGCTCCTTCCTGCTTCCCCGCCTTTGCTGCCTCTGTATGAGAGGCAGCAAGAGGTGGGGAAATGCGAATGGTTGACTAGATTAACAATACTGTTGACTACTCATTTACATTTCTAATTTGTATATGACAAATCTTGGTGGAAGTGATCAACAAACATTCATTGGAATTTTTCAGTAATGAAAAGCTTACCAATCATAACTGGAGTTCCTTCTGTCTTGAAATGATTAGCAAGTTCTCTTCCTTGAGAAGCTAGCTCAGAACCCTGGCTGTATAAGAAACACAGCATTAGCATCTCTCTCACTATTTAGTCACATACATTTGTAATTGCTGTATTATATGCTGTGTACAGTATTAAATTGTTTGTTTAAAAATTGTGTAAAATGTTTAGTGTGTGTGTGTGTGTGTCAGTTTACTGAAAAAAATCTCCGTGGAACCTAACCCTCCCTATTTACATTAATTCTTATATGGAAATTGGATTCGCTTAAAGTAGCATTTTTCAGAAACATAATTACAAGGTTACATGAGGAGTTATTGTACAGATAGGAGGCACAAACTCTGCAAAGAGAGATGACCCAAGATCTGGGCATACACATGGGGAGGGGGAATGTCAGGTTGGCAGTATCCTCTGTCCCTATTATTTGAAAGTCCCACATCCCCCTTCGCAGTCTCCCACCTATCCGCTCATGCTCCACAGTCCCTACTGCATACTGATACCCTTCAGCTAATCCCCAAACCTCCTCCTACCTGCATATCCTCAATTATTCCCATCCCCATAACTGCTCCCTCCTGGCTGAATCCCAAACCCCTCTCTGCTGATTTCCACCTACTGTTCCACCCCAATCACCCTCCTTTAACAGTGATCATTTGCATATACAGATTAAACCTCTGATAACTGACACTCCCTGGCCCAGATGTTCCAGCACCAGAGAGTTCTGGTAGAAGGCTGGTGGCTGGGCTCGCTGCAGCTGAGCTGCAATGTACAACCCAGCGGGGCCAGGAGCCCGGTGTGTGGGGAGGCTTCTGTAAGAGCATCTTTAACTTGTGAACGAAACATATTGTTGAGTATGGTAACCTTCCAGTAATGAACGTATCTTTGTTTTTCTTAAATTCCTGTAAGGTGGATACAAGTCTTTGAATTCAGGGCGACAAGATTCATAGTGCCGTTGCAGGTTTGTTTTCTTTAACTCAGCAATAGTCTTGACAAAGATAATACGCTGGTTTTCCATTTATCTCTGCAAAAAAAAAATTCCATCTCCCAAACAGGGTTGAAAACACGGTGTTCATCCAACAAGTGTGTCTTCTCCACTGCCATTTTTAATGCTTCTTATTAAAAAGAAAATTGTATACCAGTATTTTGGGTGCTTAACTTGAAGCTTCAGGTTGTACATTTCTTGGAGTGATTTTATTATAAGAAGAAGTTTCCAAGCCAGAGCACTCCAAGTTGCTGCAGGCAGGGAGCTGGGCAAGTCAGGCCAGACATGAGAGGAAAAAAAGGACAGGTGCCCAAGAGCCCCGTTATGGATTCTCAGCAGGGCTGATGTCCCCACACAGGAGTCCATCACTCCGTGCGTGACAGAAGCAGGGTGCCCGGCCATGGCACCGGACCCAAATGTGGCCAGTGAGAGCCAGTCAGCACCTCTCTGGCTCTGTGCACAAGGCTAAGCAGCCAGTACTTCCCACAATGCCCCGGTCTCCCAGCACCTCCTCCCTGGGGGCTAGAAATGCCGACACCCTGTACCCATCTGTTCCAATCAGTCTGTCCACTTGTGTCTGAGTGCTCACCTCACCTGGGAGACATCTCACCATTGTGGAGTGTGTTCCCAGTGGAGGCCATGTTCAAAGGATCCTACCCGAGGGCCGTGCGTTGAGCCCCATATAAACCCAAACCACCCTGTGGGCTGGGTGTTGAGTAGCTCCGATATATAACCTTTTTCTTATACTATATTCATAGACCTAACTGACATTGACTATATGATTGCTTGAGTATCTCTTCTAATGAGCCAAAGTGTAATCGAGCAATTGACTATACAACAAAACTTAGACCCAATCCTGGAAAGAGCTCTGCACAAACAGATCCCATGTGCCTATACATAGCCGCATTTACTTCATTGGGGCTCGGTGCAGGGACCACCTGCAGGAGATCCCCTCTGGATTGGGGTCCTATTATTACTAAGTCTCATAGTCGTGCGCACGGGGTGTGCCGGGTGTGAACAGGCACACCCTAATGTTTCAAAGGGCCGCCCGTGGCGTGGGGGCACAAGCCCCCACACTAGAAGGTGCGCTGCTTCGGCGCTCTGGGGAACGAGTGCCGCGCCAGGTTTGCCACGCATGCACAGCTGCGCGGTCAAAACCGGTGAGTCTTAGGACCCCGCGGAAAGAGTAAAGCACGGTGACTTTAAACTCCGGGCGGGGGAGGGGGGGGAAGGAGGAAAGAGAAGAAGTGGTAGGGGGGTGCCCCGGGCAGGGGATCGGGTGCAGCGCAGCTGGCCCAGGGAGGAGGAGTTGGAGGAGGAGTCGGGGTCGGGTTGGGAGCAGCGCGGCTGGCCCACGGGGGTCGTGCCCTATGGGGCCGCGTGCACGGACTTCCCTGCTTGGCGGGAGGGGGTGCGGTTGGGAGCACGTCGGCTGGCCCACGGGGGTCGTGCCCTATGGGGCCGCGTGCACGGACTTCCCTGCTTGGCGGGAGGGAGTGCGCAACGGGGCTTCCTTCCTCTGCAGGGGGTCAGCCCCGGAGGCAGGGCGCGGCGGAGTCTTCCCTCCAAGGCTGGTGTAGGGGACTCCCTGTCCCCACTGGTACCCTGCCCTAGAACTTTGTCCCCCACCCTCCTTCCCCCATTCCCTCTTGTGATGTAGTGGGGGTACTTGCTGGGCTGTGGTGACCTCTGCTGTCTGGAGCAAGACCCAGCAGGGAAAACCTCACTATGCAAAGGTGATGCCAAACCGGTTGAACCAGATACCCCCCATGAAGAGGAACAAAGGAAGGTGGAGGCTGCCCTGGCTGGGGGGCAGGGCTGGAAGAGAGTGAGTTTAGTTGCTGTCTGGGAGCATGGAGGAGACAGCCTAGGGAAAGGGGCTGGAGTTTAGGGGCCCAGTCTCCCCCCATCTCAAGGGGGCCTGAGGCATCCTAGCCCAGCTCTGGGACCAGATTACATCTGTGCTGTGCTGTGCTGCATCCTGGAGAGGCAATAAACTTCCTCTATTCCACCGGCTGGTGCAGTCTGTTTGTGCCATTTCGGGGTGCAGGAGACGGGGGACCCCCAATGTGCCGTCCCCCCCCTCCCCTGCCCCCAGCCACAGAATTGTCCCCCTCTGCAGAAACCTGCCCCCCTGGCACCCTGCCTCCTGCTGCAGAAATCTGTCTCCTTTCCCCTCCCCCCTGACCCCAGCCGCAGAACCCTGCCCCCACTGGCACCCTTTCCCAGTACCATGTCCCCTGCTCCCAACTGACTTTTCTGTGGGTCAGTGACCCTTGAATCAAGACAAGTTCCCTGCTCTTCTCCTAAATAAAGACAACGCAGAAACTTTTTGCGTTTGTCATAGTATTTTATTTAAAAATGAAGCCTGGCCAACAAATATCCAAGTGGGGACAAGCCCCCACCTGGCCACAGCCACTCCTGCACTCCCCCTTGCCCCACACCCTATATCTGTACACTGGAACCCCCTGACCTAAGCCCCTCACATACCTCAACCCAACGGGGTGAAGCAAAAGGTCCTCCTGCAGGGGAGGGACCAGCAGGGCAGCAGAAAAAAAGGTAGAGGTTTATAAGATATTTATTAATAACTTGGGTGCCACATCCAAACAAGCCACAAACTCAGTACTGGTGCACAACACAAAATTTATTCTGCTCATGGGAGGAAACTCTTAGAGGGAACACTTCCCACAGCCTCTCCGTCCCCAAGTTAATGTCACACACATTGGGTTAATGCAATTGCAGGATAGTTGCATGAGGGGAGGTTTGGTGGGGGCCAAACTAATCCCTATTGGTAGGAGGATGGTGGGAAAAGTCCGTGGGGGGGGAGGGTGTCACATGAACCTTTTACTTCTGGTCATGTGTCCATATTGCACCGACAGTGTACCTCCAAAGGCGTGGCTAATGGGGGGTCAAAGAGTACATTTTGAAAAAATTCTTTGGGTGCACACCCTAATGAAATGTGCTGCTCACGCCTATGCTAAGTCTCTTAAGTGATGGATTCCTCACAACACTTCTTCCCCCTCAACAAAGAATTAATCAATGAGATACAAATTTAACAAAAAGATTCATTCTTACCTGACAAATAGTATTTTTGAAGTTACTCCTAATAACTGGTTCAATACAAGCTGTACTTCAATAGAGCCAATCCACTGCCGCGACCCAACAAATGATTCTGGCTTGTCTCCAATATCAACTAGCGCCTTTGTAACACACATCCCATAAATCAAAAAGAAACAGTATGTAATGGACATGTTTACAATTTCTACCTATCATATCCACTTAATTTACAAATACTATAATATTTCTGGAACCTATGTTGTGAAATTTACCAAATACAGATATGATTGAATATTTAATGAAACAAAGACACCATTTAAAAATGGTAACATTTTTCTGCCTATTTTGGAAACATTTTCTTTTCTCAAACACCAGCTGATAAATGTAACTAAATGTAGCTTGAAGAAGAAGAAGAAAAAAAAAAAACAAACACAAGAAGAAATATTACTATTTTCTTAATTTTTGCAAAATTAGAATAGTGCTTCAGACAAAAATTTCACAAAAATATTTGTTATATATTGGGTCTAACTTCATGGAACTCCCTTCAATGGGCTTATATTTGTTATACATACTATCCTATTAGAAATTCTGTGCACATAGACAATAACAGTTTAGCTTAAAAACCTTAACTGTATAATTAACCTACAACTCTTGTAAGAACATAAAAACAATGAATTTTAAAACTTTATTCAAATTCTATTTCTATACATAAAGAAATATTGAAAATTATGTACGTTTTATTTTGTGTCTTTTGAACTGAATCAATTTCATTCTCAAGTGGGTTAACAGTTAACATTTTAGCTACCTTTTACTATTTATACTCTGATAAAGATTCAGCTAGAAATCCCAGTATGAGTGTTAAGTATTATGGTAGAATCTTAATTCTTACAAAAATCACTATGTTGCTAAAATAGTTAAATAAATATAAACCAAAGTACTATTTTCACAAGACATTAAAGACGCAAGTTGATAGTTTCCGCTAGCTGTACAGAATGAGCTAACCAAACATATATGTTTAGTTATGTTAGTACTTCTGGAGAAACCATGCAAGACATACATGCACACTTCTTACAAAGAAGAGAATGTTAATTTCAGGAACATTCCAAACAGAAAAATCTCTCTGTGTTTGCACATACACGATGTCTGCCAAAGAAAGGATTAAATCAGTCCTTACTAATCTGACTCCCTCAAAGTCAGAAGGGAGTCTTTTAATTGACTTTAATGGAATTGAACTGGGCTCTTAAATCTCTCATTTGGTAATCACTGAGGCCTGGTTTACACTAAAGGGGAAAATCGACTTGAGATATTTTGACTCCAGCTGTGTAATTAACGTAACTAGAGCTGTCCAACCAAAGTCACATTTTGGCGCTGTCCACACAGCGGAAGGTCAATGGGAGGACATGCCCCTGTCGACTTCCCTTACTCCTCATGAGGAGCAGGACTATTGGTGCCGATGAGAGTACCCTCTCAGTTGAATTAGCAGATTTTCACTAGAACCCCAGAAGATCGCTTGCGTCAGCATTGATCTTCTCCCTAGTGTAGGCAAGCCCTGTGTGTGTTTTGACTATGTTATGATTTGATATTTCAAGAGACTACCAACCAAAAGAACTTAAAATAAAATTCTTATTTCATGGAACTCTTTTGAAGAAAGGGAAACTATTTTAATGTCACTTACTGTACATAATTGAAAACAGAATACTTTACCACAAAATATTCTAGAAGTGATACTTCAGAAGTCTTACAGAAAAATGTGAATAGTAACTATGAATGGATTAGAAAAGAGAAACATAAATTGCATTTTTTAAGAAGTTAATTCTGTAGAGCACATTAAAATGAATGGAATAGTACTTTAAATCAGTTCTATTGCATAAACTGACTTTTCTAGAGGAATACAGTAAATACACATGAAATGCAATCTGTCTTTGTCCAGTACCTGTTGAATTTCCTTATGTGTAGGTATAGATTTCTCTGTGTAACCTTGATGCTTGAACCATGAACAGATAGTCTGCAGAGACCGGTAGGCACACCCCCAGCCATTATCATCTATCCGATCTTGCATGTAATGATGATAACTATATATACCATGTACCAAATACACCTGAAAAGAAAAAAAACAAAACCTTCTATATCAGGAGCTCTGTCTCAGAAGCTGAAAATTCATTATTTGATTTTGACATTTGCGGTATATGATTTTTCAAATTACTGATTTTGATTCATGAAATAGCTGAGAGACTTCTTGCTTTGGTTTTTTTGTTTTAAAGAACAAAGGTGAAATTCTGAAAGAGTATTTTTAAAATTTAAAATTTTAAAACTGAATCAGTGATAACTTACCACTAGACTTGTAAGCAATTATCTTTAAATTCAGGAACAGTTGGAATGTTGTATTTGGCATACTGAAGACTCATGTTAGGGAATAAATTCAAATTTAGAAAATCCTAGAAGCCAATGAAATGGCTATGTATGGGTGCCAAATGCAGTGTTTAATGAATCACTTTAAATTAAAGTGTAGGTCACAGTAACACCTAGTTATTAAAAGCCAATTAGATCACTTGCTAGAATGTTTAGCGCCATGCAGAGGAACGGCTATCAGACCACTGTCACAATATATAACATTGGTAGATGTCTGTCCAAGCTGGTTACAGAACATGAATAAATACCTAGTCAGATGCAAATATATATAAAATACAGTGTACAGAAATTAGAATAGATGCAAGATCTGAAAAGAATATAAGAATGGACATATGGGCCAGACCAAAGGTCCATCTAGCCCACTATCCTGTCTTCCAACAGTAGCTGATGCCAGGTGCTTTAGAAGGAATGAACAGAATAGGTAATCAAATGATCCATCCCTGGCAAATAAAGAATATGGACACCATTCCTGCCCATTCTGGCTAATAGCCACCGATGGACCTATCCATGATTTTTTCTAGTTCATACTTCCTTTAGTTTCATTTGGTGACGTGTAGTTCTTGTGTTATGGAGTAAATAACACTACCTTATATCTACTTTCTCCACACCAGTCATGATTTTTTAAGACCTCAATCATAACCTCTCAGTCATTTCTTTTCAAAGCTGAAGACTGAGTTTTTGTTGCTCTTTTCTGAACCTTTTCCAATAACATTTTTGAGATGGGGTGATCACAGCTGCACACAGTATTCAAGATGTGGATGTACTGTGGGATTTATAAAGAGGCAATATATTTTCTACCTTATTACACATCACTTTGTTCATGATTCTTAACATTCTGTTAGCCTTTTTGACTGCTGCTGCACATGGAGTGGATGTTTCCAGAGAACTATCCACAAAGACTTAAAGACCTCTTTCAGGTTAACAGTTAATTTAGCCCCCATGATGTTATATGTATAGTTGATGTTATGCTTTCCAATGTTCTTTACTTCGTATTTATCAACACTGAATATCATAAGCCATTTTGTTGTCCAGTCTTCCAGTTTTGTGAACTCCTTTTGTAACACTTAACAGTCTCCTTTGGACTTCACTATCTTTAGTAGTTTTGAATCTGCAAATTGATACATCACTGTTTATCCATTTTCATTGAATAGTACACTAACCCCAGTATGGACTCTTGGGGAACACAACTATTTACCACTCTCCATTCTGAAAACTGACCATTTATTCTAACACTTTGTTTCCTATCTTTTAACCAGTTACACCAATCCATAAGAGAACATTCCCTCTTTGCTTTAAAAAAATCTTTGGTGAGGGACCTTGTTGAAGGCTTTCTGAAAACCTAAATGTACTATAGCCACTGGATACCCCTTGTCCTCAAAGAATTCTAGTAAAATGATACAACCCTCCTAATTTTTGCCTTATCAAAAAAAAAAAAATGTTGACTCTTCCCCAACTAATCATGTTCATGTACATGGCTGATTATTTTTTTCTTTACTATGGGTTCAACCAGTTTTCCCAGGTAGGCTCTCTGGCCTATCAATGCTGGGACCACCTGTGTAGCCTATGTACAATACTGTCATCACATTATTTATCTTCTAGTTATGTGATACAGAAGCAGATTTAAATTACAGATTACCTACTGCAGTTAGTAGTTCTGCAATTTCACTTTTGAGTTCTAGCAGAACTCTTTGGTGAATGCCATCTGGTCCTGGTGATTTATTTCTGCTTAGTTTATCACGAATCTCCTCTAATGACAATTCAGTTTGGGATAGTTCCGCAGATTTGTCACCCAAAAAGAATGGTTCAGGTTTGGGAATCTTCCTCACATCCTCAGCCACGAAGATGAATGAAGAGAACTTAGTTTCTCTGCAACGGCCTTATCCTTGAGTGTGCCTTTAGTGTCTCAATCATCCAGTGGCCCCATTAGTTACTTAGCAGTTTCCTGCTTCTGATGTATTGAAAAATGTTTCCTGTTACTTTTGGAATGTCTTTGGCTAGCTGTTCTTCCATTTTTTTTGGCGTTCCTAATTGTATTTTTACATTTAATTTGCCAGAGTTTATGCTCCTTTTTATTTTCCTCACTAGGATTTAACTTTCACTTTTTAACCAATGCCCTTTTGCCTCTGTTTCTTTGGTGTTTACCCATGGTGGCATATTTTTTGGTTCTCTTCCTATGTTTTTAAATTTGGGGTATACCTTTAAGTTGAGCCTCTAATAAAGTGTCTTTAAATACAAAGTTTCCATGCAGCTTGGAAAAATTTCAATTTTGGCACTGTACCTTTACATTCTGTTTAACCCACTTCCTCATTTTTGTGTAGCTCCCCTTTCTCAAGTTAAGTATTATTGTGTTGGGCTGCTGTGGTGTTGTCCCTGCCAAACGGATGTTAAATCTATACATACTATGAATTCTAAAACTCTATAGTATATTCCCCGCAGATGATGCAAGGGGACATGCTTCCCCCCCATCTTCCTCCTGATAGCTGCTATTCTTGCTGCTTTTAACCCTTTGCCTCTCTTTAGTATTACAACACTGCTCTCTGCAGTTTCTACAGTCAAAGCAGCATAGTATAGCAGCAGGAGCAGCAGAGAAGCAGGAAGGAGTGACAGATATGGCTGCAGAGATGGTGTTAGAAGAAGATATTTTTAAAACTAAGATCTGTACTATTAGTATACATTATAATAATTTTATTTATTCCTGCCCTAAAACCACTGGGAGCACCTTAATGAAATACAAAGGTCTTTTAATGTTGTCTTTTCCCCTTCATTGCCCAAGATCTCATACCTTTATTTTTTGTAATATTTATTTAGATTGTAAAAGTCTCTCAGGCCAGGACCTGATCTGATATCTATAAAATGCTACTCACAAATAAAAAAAGTTAATAATAGAAGCATTAATATAATTAACACAGAGTACTGTGCCCTAACATTTTTCCAGAGCAGATCACAAGACACTAATAAACCTAACAGCACTCTATTACCATTTATTAAAGCAAAAATATACACAATGAAAATGGAAATAAAAATCACTGAGTCTTTCCCCGACAAGTTTAGATGTATCTAAAAGAGATGAAATAAAAAGGGAGAGAATTAAAAAGAGACAGAGTCCACAAGTCCCTCCACAAACTCCTCCCAATATTGAAACAAAAGACAGGACTATGCAGCACTTTACAGGCTAACAATAGTTTATTAGGTGATGAGCTTTCGTGGGCCAGACCCACTTCCTCAGATCAAATTGTGTAAGAAAATTGGCATGACCATATATACCAAAAGGGATACAATCAAAAAAAAGTGAACACACATAAAATTGACAAATCAGATTTTAGAACAGCGCAGGGTGGGTGGGTAGGGGGAGATTAGTGTCTATGAGATAATGATATTAGGGGTGATAATTGGGGAAGCTATCTTTTTAATGGGTAAGATAAATTAGCATCTTTGTTAAGGCCCATTCGTAAACTGTCAAATTTAAGCATGTATGACAGTTCTGAGGCTTTCCTTTGTAATCTTGTGTTAAAGTCCCTTTGAAGCAGGATGTATGTAGTCAGGTCATTGAGACAATGCCCAGTCTGGTTGACATGGCAAGCAACTGTTTTTTCTTTGTGAAACTGTCTGATGTCTGTTTTATGTGCATTGATTCTTTGGCGAAGTGTCTGAGAAGTCTGTCCAATATACATAGCAGACAGACACTATTGGCACATGATGGCATAAATTATATTTCTGGATGAACAGGAATATGTGTTCTTTATCTTGTAACTAACATAGTTAGGTCCAATGACAATGTCAGCAGAGTAAATGTGGACAAAGCTGGCAACGGGGTTTGTAGCAAGGGAAAGTTCCAGGGTTGGTATTAGTGTGGTATGTTCTGTGGTTGTTGGTAAGAATCATCCTGAGGTTAGGTGATTGTCTATAGATCTGTCTCCCAGAGCCTCCCGGAGTATAGTATCCTGTTCCAGTATAGGTTGTAGTTTATTGATAAGGCGTTGAACAGGTTTAAGTTGGGGGCTGTAGGTGATGACAAGTGGTGTTCTATTGTTGGTTTTCTTGGATCTGTCTTGAAGGAGATGGTTTCTGGGTATTCGTCTGGCTCTTTCAATTTGTTTTTTGTTTTGTTTTTTATTTCTCTGGGTGGGTATTTGATCTGAGGAAGTGAGTCTGGCCCATGAAAGCTCATCACCTAATAAACCATCTTGCTAGTCTTTAAAGTGCTGCATAGTCCTGTATTTTGTTTCAGCAAGACTAGACTAACACGACTACATCTCTATTACTATTCCTCTCAATATTATAATTCATCAAGATTATTAGTGGCATTCTTGAGACTCTCACCTGCCATCACAGGGCACTCAGCAACATAGTCTCTCAATTAAGATTGGTGCTATGAAGATCTTACCAGGCAGATTGTGCAATATGAGCACAGACCCGCAGTTCTCAATTTTTTCCATATTTGTCATAAACTTTGATATATCAGGATCACCCTAGGACTCCCACTTCTTTCTACCTGGGATCCATCTTCTATTTAATAGAAGAAAGGATGGGGAGGTCACAAACCTCATCTTTAGAATCCATGACATAAGACAAAGGTTCTCCAGGATTTTCAATCTACTCACTAAGGGTGTGTCTAGACTACATGCCTCCTTCGACGGAGGCATGTAGATTAGCCAGAT